TACTTTCAGTTTTTATTCTTCTGACATTGTGGTTCTCCATAATTCCCAATCATATTGCATTACCTTAAAACCACTAGTGTTAAACATGGGTTTCTCTGTGTTAGGGAGTAGTTTGGGATCCTTGAAAATATTACACAATTTCCCAAAAGCAAACCTGCCCCATCTCTTCCTCCTGTTCAGTTCTGAGTCTAATTCATTATCCATCTGCAGTGTCTATCCCTGATAGATACACTCAGGGATGAGCTCAACAACTGCCCATCTCATTCCATATTTTAGTCTGAATAATAGGCATTCTGCACCCATTTGGTTATATAGATAGGCTTTTGTCTTTGGGGGCCTTCATCTTTCTCTTCATTGTCACTGGGAAGGATATCACTGAGTATTCTAGGACTTGGTATGATCAGCACAATGCTATTCATAAACAGGAGCATCTGGAGAACCTAATCATTGGTCAATTAATCAGTCAATCAGCAAGCATTTACTAATGCCCACTGTGGGTCAGACTATACCAAAACCTGGGGACACAAAGCAAGACAAACACAGTGCCTGCCTTCAAGGACCTTACATTCTAGTGAGGCAGGGAGATAAGATGTAAATAGTTAAATACATACAGAGTCAGTGGAAGCTAACCTCAGAGGAGAAGGTTCTATCACCTGGGGGAACCAGGAAAGGTCTCCTGCAGAAGATGGGTTTTGAGTTTGAAGAAAGTCCAGGAAACCAAAAGGTAGAGGGGAAGAGGAAAGACATTCTAGGTACAGGGGACATCCAGAGAGATACAATGCTGTGTATGACGAACAGCAAATACATCAATGTGACGTGTAGAGGGGAGTAAAGTGTAAAAGGACTGAAAATTACTAATATGGAAATATGTTTTACCTGATTGCAGATGTATAATCTATATCAGATTGCTTACCATCTGAGGGATAGAATTTGGAATTCAAAACTTTTTTTAAAAAGCTGAATGTTAGCTGGGTGACCCTGAGCAAGTCGCTTAACCCCAATTGCCCAAAAATAAAAAAAAAATTTAAAAAGCTGAATGCTCACAATTGTTTTTACATGTAATTGGGAGGGAATAAAATGTTATTTTAAAAAAACAGGACTGGAAAGGTAGGAAGGAACCAAGTTATGAAGACCTTGAATTTCAAACAAAGGATTTTATATTTGATGTCATCAGTGTTTATTAAATAGAGGTGGGGAGAATAAAGGAGAGAGGGTGAAACCTGTGATTTCAGAAAATCATTTTGGTGGCTGAGTAGAGGCTTGATTAAAATAGAGAGAGATGAGACAGGGAAGTCAATTAGAAGGCTATTGCAGAAGTCCAGCTAAGTAGTGATGCTAAGCCAATTAGATCCAGCTAAATTAACATGATAACTTAGAATCTCTCTTCTATTTGCAATTGTCCAGGGCATCTTCGAGGAAGTGTCAAACCTCTTCCACAAGTATATGTAGGCCTATTTGTGCCTCGCTTGGCATTAATAATTAAAGGATCTAGCAAAAACTCCATCTCTATGATTGTATCTATCAGGGAATCTTGTATGACACAAATATATGCCTGGGAGAGATCTTTTGGGAGGAGTCTTTAAGTTTACATTTTAAATTACCAAGTCAAACACTTATTTTTATAATCAACAATAAACACACCAGGAGCTTGTATTCTCTACACTTTTCAGTCAGTTGTGTGACTGTGAAGATGTGAAGAGTAATATTAAATCACCTTTACATAATGCTTTAAGCTTTTGAAGTATCTTCCTCTGAGGGCGGAAATTATTCTCCTCATTGCACACATGAGGAAACTGAAGGTCAGAGAGAGGACATGACTTATCCAGTCACACAATTAGTAGGCGCTAGAGCTTGGATTTGAACACAGATGTTAATATGGGCAGTTAGGTGGTGCAGTGGATAGAGTGTCAGGCCTGGAATCAGAAAGACTCATCTTCCCGAGTTCAAATCTGGCCTCAGACACTTACTAGCTGTGTGACCCTGGGCAAATCATTTAACTCTGTTTGCCTCAATTTCCTTATCTGGAAAATGAGCTGGAGAAGGAAATCACAAACCACTCCAGTATCTCTGCCTAGAAAACTCCAAATGGGGACACAGGGAGTTGGACATGACTGAAAAATGACTGAACACACACACATCTTTAATACAAATCTGCCATTTTTACTGTTGTGGGGAATGGAGAAATCAATTATGGAATTCCCAACTTTAGACAGGACAAAGGTAAAGGGAATTGTCAGTTCCCCTTAGTATTTTGTTTCCCAAGTGCCTTTATCCTTTCCTTACAAGGTCTGTTTACATATGTATAGATCAAGTGTGTAGGATGCTACATGTAACCTCAGACTTCTTTGCTTTTTTGTTCAGTTTTGTGGAATGTCTTCTCTTTCTTTGTTTTTTTTTTCATTTTATTATAACAGTTGGTTCTTTGGGAGAGGGCAAGTGAATAAATCTAGTGTTGTATAAGTGTTGTAAAAACAAAAACTATCGATAAAAATTATTTTGAAAAATAAATATTTTCAAAATGGCTGTAGGAAAATCAGGGCATGCTGATCTGAAATGAACATATTGTAAATGCCAGAAACTGCATATCCTGAACTTTATGGATGATGATGATGATGATGATGATAACTCAGAAAATCAGAAGTAAGCCCTAAATAATACTGCATTTAGTTTATATTGATATACCTTTTCTTCTTACTAGAGGCTTAACTGAAGATGGGGATCAGGAAAAAGAATAGACACAAGCAGGTGTGTGCTGATAAATGTTTAACAACTGACTGAAAAAAGATGTGTGCATGACATAATATTAAGTTTAATCTACTTTAACATTTTCTGTATCACTTCCTTAAGTCTAGACAATCAACAAAATAATAAATCAAGTTCTGAATTGTAGCATTTGCTAATTTCTGAGCTGTAAATGCTCACACTGAAAATTAAACAATCAGCTCTCTTCAATCCATTCAAGCTGGTTTCAGCACACTCCTTGACTAGTCCTGAGTTGGTTATATAGGTATTCAGAGCAGGACTGCACTTGAAACCGTAGACAAATGTCTGTTTTTTAGAGAAAGTTCTTCTGGATAAGGTGATTCCACACCCTTCCTTGATATGATCTTCATACCCATTCTAATGTTCAATGACCTTCCCTCTCAGAAAATGTCTGTATATCTAACTTCATAAGATATCAACATGGGGGTGACTTTAGAAATTATCTAGGTCATAGCTTTCATTTTAACGGATTCATTTTCACTGAATTAAACCAACAGTTTATTTACATCTACTGAGGTTCAGAGGAATTGTGACTCCCCCGAGGTCTCACAGTTCCCTCAGTCCCTCTTGATATAGCTCAAACCTTCAAACAACCACATTGCTTGAAGAGACAGCCTTTATTTGGAGAAAACTGGAGTCAAACTCTTCAGCATTATCGGGCTAACACCAATTGACAAAAGTCAGACAGATTTGAGGCAGGAAAGTCAGACTGGGCCCCATACCAATAGCTGGCTTTCACTGTGAGAAAAAGTCAGAGGCCCCACTCCAAGTGCTATCTTGCAAGCATAGGGAGTGTGAAAATCTGCCAAGCTATTCTATAGCAATCCCAATGATCTCATATATTTTCATTTCCAGGAGGTGTTGAATATCACCCCAAGGAAGGTATCTTACTCATCTCATTGGGTCAAGTCTTGGGATTTCTTTTAACCCTTTAGGAGGCTAGTTCCATTTCACACAGTTCCAAAATGTACTCCAGTTCAAAGACCTGAAATGAATGTAAGTACACATAGGCCTGGGTAGTAGGCTAGGGATACTCAAAACAAAAATAGTCCCTTCTGAGCTCAGACCTGCCTGTGGTTACCCACATTTGCCCCCTTAAAATGATACCGAGCTGTCTTCTTGCTAATGTGATTACACTCGTGAAACTCTGTTGGGTATTTATAGGATTAAATATCAGCTTGTCATCTTGGTAATTGTAGTAAACAGTGAATAATGGTGGTATTTCTGCCCTCTTAAATGAAGCCAGGAGAGAATTCCGAAAGGAAACTTGGCTTAACAATGAGGACAAGGGAAGGGATAAGAGAGATGGAAAGTTTGAGCTGTAGACTAGAAGCCTCAGCATCTCTGGCCTTCGGTTTCCTCACCTAAATGATTTCCATAGTGGCTTTCAGTTCTAAATTCTATGATTTTAAACTGCAAAAAGAGAAATTTGTTTTTAAAGGGAGCTATGTGAGGGAATGGGAATTTATTCTGGGTATAACAGTTCATCTGGTGAAAGTCTCAGAGGCAGGAGGGAGAGGCCTAAGAAAATCAGCTTGACTGGGCCCAGCAGGAGATAGGAATGAACAAGTAGATGGGGACAGGTAGAATGGAGGCAAGCAGGATGATTCATTCCATTCCCAGTCCAGTTTCTGACCTTCTAGATTCAAATTCATGCCTCTCTCAATGTCTCATCTTGGAATTTTCTTCAGCACCCCAGAGCTTCTCCACCATTCTTTTGGCTTGCTCAACATGGAGTATCTCCTCCCATGCCCACTCCCCATCTTCTGCCGGTGAGTTCCTCCTAGGGCCTCATTTTGTGAAAGGACCTAGGTTGGTCAGCTTTCTCTTGCCTCCCAGACCTGATGTTCAAAATCATGTCTTCATCTTCTCCACCACCCTTTTTCAGTTCCCCTTTTTTGCCATCTTCAGTTCCTTGAGGGCAAGAATTACCTTTCTGTTTTCTTGCATTTGCATTCCCAGGGCTAAGCACAGTGCCTGGCACATAGTAAGCACTCAATAAATGCTTGCTTCTTTCCTTTTCCTTCCTTTTGAAGATGCCTCTGGCCACAGTCCTAACTGGGATTGCCACAGGGGAAGCACGTTCCAGCTCTGTCCTCAGAGCTCAGGTAGTAGTACAGGTGTGACTGACTTATAAGGACGTCTCTTTGGTGCCTCAGTGAATAACCGTCCTTTGGCTGAGGTCCAAGCTGCATCGTTTTCCTCTGAACGCTGGGCTCTCACCAACAGTATTCCTGCAGGGCTTTGATATAGCGAGGTCCACCCCTACAAACATTATGCAACAAACGTTTGCTGTCTACCGGGGAGACGCTCTAGATCTCACTTATTGATATAATAGTACAACGACATCAGCCTCAAAGCATGCAAGGCATTTGAGATATAGGCACCAATTATCTCACTGAACCCTGTGAGAGAGAGGTGTTTTTGTTTTTTGTTTTGCTTGTTTTTTTAACTGGATCTATGATTTTATCAGTATATGGAAATATTGGTTGAGAATCTTAATCAGCATTTGCTCTATAGCTTTCACTTTTAGAGAATTGCCTGGGTGGCTGAGACTTTAAATGACTTGCCCAGGGTCACATAGCCAATAGGTTAGAGATAGGATTTGAACTCAGCTCTTCCTGGCCCCAATACTAATTCCTGGTCTAACTTACGACACCACACAGGGATCCTATCTTACTGGGGAGAAAATTGGGGGTAGGGAGAGAAGCTTCAATTACTTGTCCCGAGTTATGGACCTAGCAAATGTTACATTGAATCTTCTATGTCCAACATTCTACCCACTATCCCAATAAAGCCTCCTCCATGTAGCTAGGTAGACATGCTCCTCCTCTCCTCCAGCCTCACTCACCCAAGACATGCACTTTGCATTTAATTTTTTTTCCTCAATTACATGTAAACAAAAATTTTTAACATTTTCTTAAAATTTTGAATTCCCCCTTATATTCTCCCCACTCTCTCTTCCCTCCCCCCTCCTTGAGAAGTCAAGCAATTTGATTTCGATTATACATGTACAGTAATGCAAAACAAAGTGCATAAAGACATGCACTTTGGATGGTGTTGGGGACAAATGGCTTATAAAATTTACTTCCATTTGAATTTTTCTAGAATTTCTTCCCCTCCATTTTTTGGCCTCCTTCCCTTTCCTTGTTCTGTGATTAAGTGAGGAGGGTGAAGAAACAGCAGACTCTAGGAAGACAGACTTTAATGAGGGAGCCCAGGTGCAAAAATGCTTCTGGGGATTCCTGCAAGATTCAAACAGTTGATGGAGACCACCCAGGCTCAAAGCCTCTAAGTTTCCACGTAGTCCCTGTTTACTACATCTCAGACGCCTGCTCCCACCATTAGCAGGAGCCATCTCTACTCCGAGCAGGGATCATCATTTGTTTGGGATTAGGGCAAACTGCACAATGCAGAAAGTATTCTGTCTATCAGCCAAACAGCAATCATTCTTTTCCCCATTCATTTCAAGGAGGAGCTAGTGTCTCGTGGTGATTCCTTTCCCTCAAACTCCTCAAATAATTGGAGGCAGTTTAAGAGGCAAATGCATGATTGCCTACAGTTTTAAAAAAGGAGGAGTGGGGAATTATATAATAAAAACATGTCTCTGAACTTGTTCTACTGTAGCAGGAGGGATTTGGGTCAGATTTCTTGACTGGGTGTTAGACCATGAAAAGGAAAACCTAGATAGGCTATAGAATCTCCTTCCCTAGAAATTAAAAAAAAACAAAACAAAAACAAAAAACAGAACAAATTCTCATTAGCCTGAGATATTTTCATGCAGTTTTGACTGCAGACATGGGGAGAGACTAGATAGGATTGTAACATCTTATTTTTTTTTTAGGCAATTGTAGTTAAGTGACTTGCCCAGGGTCACACAGCTAGTAAGTGTCAAGTGTTTGGTCTGAGGCAGGATTTGAACTGAGATCCTCCTGACTTCAGGGTCAGTGCTCTATCCACTGTGCCACCTAGCTGCCCCAACATCTTAGTATTAATAGAAATCTTTAAGATCATCTAATTCAAGCTATTCTCCAGGTAATTTCTACAGCATCCCTGACCAGAGACCATGTAGACAGACTCTGTACAATTCCACTGAAGTGCTGCTCACTCTCACAACGTCTTGTTGTTCAGTTGTGTCCAACTCTCTGTAACCTTGTGCACCATATTATACATAGGGTTTTCTTGGTAAAGATACTGGAGTGGTTGGCCACTTCCTTCTCCACTGGATTAAGACAAACAGAGGTCAAGTGACTTGCCCAGGGTCACACAGCTAGTAAGAGTCTGAGGCCAAATGTGAACTCCAGGCCCAGCACTCTATCCACTGAACCACCAAGCTGCCTCAATTTTCAAATAGCTCTAATTGTTAAATGATCTTTGTTAAGGACTGAGGAATCGATGATGTGTAAGCAGTCCAGAAGGGGCTCACTGGGAACTAATGGTTGAATTTTTCTGTTTTCATCAGGAAAGGTTTAATGTAGGTGGGTGGGGAAATTCAGTCTAAGATCCTTTTTAGAAGCTCAGAGGAGTAAATTTGGCATCAATAACCAAGTGGGCTTCATAATTACACTTTAAAGACCTCGTCTTGTGGGCTTCACTTGCTGTAGCTCAGATCTCATCAGCCCTACACATTCATTGAGATGACAGCCAAGCATACTAAATGTGTCCCCAGAGCCAGTGACAAGTTTGTCAGTGCGTGGGTCCCAGGAGCAACACAGAGAGAATTTAGTAATGAAAATACTCAAGGGCATATGTGCACTGGCATTGAGGAAATCCAGAAGCAACTTCTTAATTCTCCACTTTAAAAATCTGTCTATACCTTCATCCATCTTTCTCCTACTCCCTAAATTCTCTGGGCTAAATATCCCAGAAAACCATGCATGAGCCCGCCTGTCACATTATATAATGTCACCGAACATGCACTCCAATTGGGTGGGACTTCTTGGGGGGGGGTGGACTGCAGCTTAAAAAGAATCGAGGAAAATCTTACAGGGGTTGGAAAGACAAAAGTTGTGATAATTGATAAATGTGGACAGAGGTGCGCAGTACTGAGAGACGGAAGGAAATGGCAGTCCTGTTGAGATCACACTAAGGGAATGGGTATAGGCGGGCTGTAAGAGTCAAGCTGACGTAGAAGAAATGATGGGGAAGGCAAAGACCTGGAGAGAGATTCTGAGAGTTCTGGACCTGGACGAATTATCAAAAAGCTCCAGTTCCCAACATGTTAATATCTCTAGCTTCTGTGTCAAGAATGAAATGAAAGTGACCAGTCATGGAGGGCTACAGTGCTGATCTCTACCATCAGGGCTTTGAGTGTGAAGTGATGTGTCTTTCTCCAACTGTGCTGGGAAAACAGAAGGCTCATCAGGAACTGTTGGGAACCAGATTCAGTTCTTTGCTGTACAGTGGGAAGAGAAGTGAATTTGGAGTTGGAGAACATGGGGTCAATTTATAGGTGAGTCACCTATGCCACTTTGGGCAAGTCACTTCTTTCTGGAATTAAGTTTCCTCATCTGTCAAATGAGATTGAAACAGCTTCTTAGGTTCATTCCAACTTGAAATCTACTATCCATTTCCTATGTGACATATGAGGTATGTGATAGATTATTTTTCGGACCCCTGTTTTATTCCAATCAGTATTAATCAGTTTGATATGATTCCATAGGGGTCTTGATGATAAGTTCTATATATCAGGCCTCAGAGCTGTGAACTGCAGACCATAAATTCACTTGCTTAATCATAGGAAGCTAACGAGAGGCCCACCATCCTTGTTTTTCCTAGTTATGGTGACCAAGCCCAGCAAGCCCGGAAGTGACTCAATTACATGGAAAGTCCTCCAGCTATTTTTGGTGCTCCTCCATCTCTTGTCATCCCTCTATTGCCCAGCATGGGGAGATAAGCATGAGCAGGTAGCCAATGAGTGGCCCTGGTTGCCAATCTTCAGCCTGCCTTTCTACCAGCCCATCAGCCCATGTAGATATTTTGACATCCGCCCATCACCCCAACCCCAAAAGCCTGCTCATCAGCTTCCACAGGATCTCCTGGAAGATCAAGATAGGTCTATTAGGATAGGTCTGTTCAATAGCCTGTTTGTCAATGAATGGCATTCTGTATTTTATGTATACTCTCCTGGAGGGGAAAGATCTATCCACCAATCAGACTCTGTATTTTTGGCCTGTTCCACCAAGTATCACATACTATAAAGGAAGTAGGCATCTCAGATTGTGAGGAAGATCTGAGGCCTACTTCACTAAAGGGAATTGTGGACCTTTTAATAAAATGCCATTGGCTCAGAGCTCTGCCTTATTGGGCTTTTTTCTTGCAGACTGGACAATTTTGAAAATCCCCACAGGTAGCTAGGTGACTCAGTGGATAAAGTGCTGGGCCTGGAATCAGGAGGACCTGAGTTCAAAAGCGGCCTCAGATATTCACTAGCTTTGTGACTTTGGGAAGTAACTTAACCTCTGTTTGCCTTAATCCACTGGAGAAGGAAAGGATAAACCATTCCAGTATCTTTGCCAAGAAAACCCCATATGAGGTCATGAAGAGTTGGACACCACTGAATGATTGAGCAGCATGGTGGAGAGAACACAGAACTTAGGAGTCATGAAGACCTGAATTTGAATACTGCCTCAGACATGCACTAGCTATGTGACTCTGAGCAAGTCACTTAACCTCTGTCTACCTCAGTTTCCTCATCTTTAAAATGGGGTAACAATAGTACCCACTTCACAAGATTGTTGAGAGGAGTAAAAAAGATAATATATGTAAAGTGCTTTGCAAACCTTGAAGCTATCTACATAAATATCAGCAATGATTATTATTTTAATTAGCGATAATAGCTAGCATTTATATAGCTATCTTTAAGGAATGCAAAGCACTTTACAAATATTATCTCATTGGATTCTCACAACCTTGGGAGGTAGATAATACTTTCATCCCAATTTTACAGGTGAGAGAATGGAGGCAAACAGAGATGAAATGGCTTGCCCAGGGTTATAAAGCTAGTAAATATCTGAGGTAGGATTTAAACTCATCTTCCTGAGCCCAGGTCCAGTGCTCTGTCTACCACACCACCTATCTTCTGGATTTCATGTCATGTGACTTAGTCTTACAAAGAGTCATTTGATGGGGACTCAGAGCTATGCGTTTGATAGATGCTGACCCAGAACAGTGGATTGAACCTGGAATGTAGTGAGGAATCCCAAACTTACAAGGGAATCTGTTGGGGAGGGAGGAGGCAGGTTCTGTTCCATGTTTGGGCCAGC